AAGAAAAAGCCAAGAAAGTCCAGTTGCCTTTTAGAAAAGTACCTTTTGGACAGGAACTACTTGTTCTTATTGTCCATGGAGTCAGCCCTAACTCTTGATGATTAACAAGTCCCTGCACTTTTCTTAACAACATTTTTGGATGTAGTTTTGCTAGGACCTTCTTCCCAGAACCCCAAACGGACTCTCATAAATACTGCAGCCTATGAAGTCTTCTTTTGCTTATTACCTTTTTATATGAAAAGTATTTCTATGTTTTGCGAGAGTTTCTACTATAATTTCACTTTCAGTACAGGAATGTTATAATTTATTCAAGTAGATATAATGGTCAAAAGTTTGTTTTTAGTTCAGATTTAATTCTTCTGAGAATCTTTAAAAACAAAGTGTTAAAAGAAGATGGTGGCCTACCATTTTTCTGTGTCAGATTTTGAATTCTATAACAGAAGAGGTGTTGAATCACATGGGTACCTTTCGTAGCCCCCAGGACCAGGTGGACTTCATCCTAAAAAGTTTTAAAGAAGGTAAACTATATGGACCGTCATTCTACAAGGTTACCTCCCTTAAACATTCTTAATATATTGTGACTAATGATCTGAGGTGATTTAAATTGCATTTAATAGAGAAAATTTAGAATTTGTGAGACTTGGTTCAGTAGGTTTTGAAATAATGCAGTTTGCTGCTTTGGAAGGACAGATTTTCTGGTAATAGATTTTGAATCCCCAAGCTCCTCCCCCCCTTTCCCCCCAATGATAGGAATCATGCAGCAAAAATCTTTACAGCATTTCTAGTATCCTTGGATTTCTGTCTCAGAACTTTTCTGGAAAACTTTTATTTCAAAAAGTAGCATTTTTTTCCATGTAAGCATAAATTGTTCCAGACACAAATCCTGTAACCATTATTTATATATTTTATTTTTGATCTTTGACTATTGGTATTTCTTTTTTTTTCTTTTATAATTTTTTAAATTTTTTAAATTATATATAAGTATTGAATACATGAACAATGTGGCATCTGGGTTTTGTTAATTTTGATACAAAATAATAGTGATACTATTGATAATCTTAATTACCTTAATCATACTCACGTCATTATAATAACATTATAAATATAACATTTTTAAAAGTTAACATTTTAGTATTTGCTCCACCGTGTCATTCCACCAATCATTCATTTAATTATTCAATATTTTAATACACAATACTAATAACCATGATAATATTGTTTAAGTGTACATATTATAATCATCTTTCAACTTCTATCCCCCTTTGTTTGCCAGATGTTTCCTCGGAACTATATCTTCTCATTCACAACTTGGACAGTAAGATGTTAAGAGGAGATAAAAATCAGCAAATCCTAGGACAATTGTCTTCGCTTTCCAATGTCTACCTCATAGCATCTATTGATCATATTAATGCACCTCTCAGTAGGTTACTGGGTTTTTCAAACAGTGTATGTTGTATGTAAATTCATCATAAATGCTAGACATTAGTAACAGGTCCCCTTGTGGTACAAGTGTAATTCATCTTAGGGCTGTTTTTTATTCTGCGTATTACCAGTGGTGGAATTATGATTATTTATATTTAAATTTCTTAAGAGACTATGATTTATTTTGTACTGGTAACGCAGAATCTCAGAACAGTTCAATGGTAGTTTATTTTAGCAGGGTGTTTTTATAAAGTCTTTTTATAAATAAGTTTTAAAGACATGGCTTCCCTACAAGGTGACAATACTAAACTTAGGAGTCTGCTGTACTTTTGCAGAAACATTTGGACTTATTTAAGTAGTTTTAATCTATCCCTGCCTAGTTGGTGTTCAGAAGCATCCGTAGAATGAGCTAGTTCAGTCTGCCACCTCAACATGGCAACAGGGAATAGACGGCCAGTTTAGTCTCACAAACTGTTAGCCAACAGCTACGATAATCTCCTTCTTGTTTCTCTTAACTTGTTTTGTTTTACTTTGTACTTTCCTTTTGGGCAGAGCAGCTGCACAATATATTCATCTTGAAAAAAGGAAAAATTCCTAAAAATGTAAAATACAGCATAAAAATTGTAACACAACATAAACCATATCTAAACAATCAAAATATAACTTCCACAGATTTCATGCCCTTTGTTGATTTGAAAGATACCTATTCTGATATATACCATGCACAACAGTGCATGAAGTTTACCTATCCAAATCCATAAGTGTATGTAATACTAATTTTTCTATAGGAAAGGTTTTTCTGAAGATAGTAGGGAGTTTCAGCAAATGATGGCTACCTGGCAGGATGGCAAACACTGTCAAAAGTTTGCAGCTCAGGATTTCCTATCAGAAACAGATGGTATGACATCCATTTGCTAAAGCTTAGGGCAGTGCAAATGGCTTTATAAAGCATTTTTCCACCAAATGAAGTATGCTTATTTAGCATCTTCAGACATGAATTATCAGACATCAAAATCCTTTCATAAGCAGGTGAGAAACCTTATACACAACATACACAAAGAGCATAGAAGTAGATCACACTAACAGTGTTTTGCTATTTTCAATCCTGCTTCCAAGATACGATGTTAGGTTACTGTCAGGGAGAGCCAAGGCAGTGAATAGAGGGAATTGTCCTATCACAAGGCTTGCAATACACTTTATCCTATATTTATTTCTGAGCCTGTTGGATGGTATGGAAAATCATGATGCAAAAGATAATAGTAATTCCAGTGACTTTCTATTTACTTTGAATACATTGATTTTCAAGTTCTTCAGCTACTGAATAGATCACCCAGTCATTTCAATCATTCACACATAAATTTTCATCAAAACATACAGTAGAAGGCAAACTGTGATTCCCATCAATTCTATTGAAACCTATCATTTTGATCTCTGTAGATTTTGGAGAAGCACTATTACCTAGCCTTTTGATCATTTTTTCCCTCCTCAGAACCTTTCTCTGTAAGCACCAGACTTACCTGAAAGTATAGACTTTCGAATCTCTTGAGAGTACTGTAGATTTATTGTAGAAAATATAATGTAGCCATTAAAAGAGAATTTCAGCAACAAATGTATATCAAATGCAAGCTTTATTTATAGTAAATATTGAAATGATAGACCCTTTCTAATTTGCATCATGTAATGGATCCAAAGCTACTCCTGTATTTATTCAGGTGGCATCTACATTGTTGTTTTCCAATCATGCTCATTTAATTAAGATTCATAGGACAGTGGCTTGGTGTTCCATTTTTCTATATGTTAAACATTCTTCTGCATTTCTCTGGAGATTCTCAGTCATCCAGATCATGGCTGTCTGAAAGGTGCTTTTTCAAAAGACAACTGGACTGTTTTTTTTTCTTTAAGGAAGATGTTTTGCTTCTCATTCAAGAAGCTTCAGAACTGAGTCAGAACTGAAGAAGCTTCTTGGATGAAAAGCGAAACATCTTCCTCAAGGAACAAAACAGTCCAATTGCCTTTTGAAAAAACACTGTTGAGATTTTTCTGAATGGTTATCCTTAGACATTTTTCCTCCAGTTTTTCCTATGGCTGTATCATGGAAGAAACTGAGTGGACTAATAGGTGGATCCTGTAAGACTTGGTCTAGTCAAAGTTCTTGTCCTAGTTCACTCTCTTGATGCCAGACATTTAGAAGGACCCTTCACAAAGAAAATCCAGGATCATTTTTTAAATAAAAATAAGAACTGGAAATAATTTCAGCTGATGCTATAACTGATGTTTATCAGAGATGTATGACATCTATGAAAGCCTTGGTCATAGTTCCAGAAAGCTTTAAACTGTAATAGAATAATATGATGGAATAAGGTTATCTTTAATAAGTTAATTATATTCATATTAAATTACATTTTTTCTTCTTGTTTATAATACATTCGCCAGTTTGCCACCCAAAAGCCAGATGAGTCCCTTAAACATACTTCTTCATTAAAAATATGTGCTCTTTTCTAATTAGTATGAGATCTTATTCAAACAGCAATCTGTCATAAAAAGGATTTAGTTCATGTAACACTTTGGAATTACTCTACCACTTTTATGCTGGCATATCATAAAAGCTGCTATGGAAAGCCATTTCCACACTTAGAGTTCTCAAAGTTTTATGGAATGTATTTTCTACTCTTAATATTTTCTTTTTGATATTTGTCTTCTACATTCATAGTGTGGGATCAAGCAAAACAAAGCATGTATAATTGGTTGTGGTACGAAATGACCACCTTCAGCCCTTATGCAGAAGAAACAGCCTATGAAAATTCGCTCTTGGTACAGCATTCGGGATCTTTGGCATTGAGCTCCCTTACACATGTTCTCTGCAGTCTTACTTCTAATGCAAGGTAAGAGATACTGTAGGTTTGTGAGAAACAGGAGAGATTCTTCCCAATGACCAGAAAAAAAACCCTAACATGTAAGACTAATACTATAAGTATATTTCTTTTTTCTTTTTTTCAATATAGTTTTTTTTATTAATTTATAATATGACATACAAAAGTCAATATTAGGGAAATTAGGGAAGGAAAAAAAAGAAGTGGATAGTGGGGGAAAGCAAAGGAAAAAGGAAAAAAAGGCATTGACTTCTGATTCCTTTGGTGCAGTAAAATAAGGAATTGACATCTACCCTCAACTTTGTATTTTTTCATAATAATACAAACTAGCAATTTCTATAAGAAAAAATCTAATCGGTAAAACCCAAAATCAAAGTTTCTTTTTTTTCTTTAATCAAAACAGTCAATTTAGCCATCTCTGCTAACTCCATCAGTTTTTGCAGCCATTTATCCATTGTGGGGATCGAGGTGATCTTCCATTTCTATGTGTAAAGTAGTCTTACTGCCGTCAATGTATATAATGTTAAGAGATCTGAATTTTTTTCCAAGTCTTGTTCGATTAAACCCAAAAGAAAAGTCTCTAGTTTTCTTTCTATATTCACTTTAAGAATTTTCTGTATTAAGATATGAATCCTCCAATAGTTCTTTGCTTTATCACAGCACCATAAATGATAAAAAGTCCCTTCTTTCCATTTCCATTTCCAACATTCAGTTGAAATACCTTTATACATTCTTGGCAATTTATCTGGAGTTAAATACCAATGATACATCATCTTATAGAAATTTTCTTTTAAATTATAGTTTAATATAAACCGTAAGCCTTTATTCCACATATTCTCCCACTGTTCAAGCATTACATTAAATCCAAAATTCCTTGCCCATTGAATCGTACAGTGCTTTACTTGTTCATTTTCCAGATTTAAATTCAATAACACTTCATAGACTTTAGCAATATGTTTATCATTACCACATAGTAAGAGTTTCCAATTCCTTTTTAACAAAGTTAATCCCATGATTCTTTTTATCTAATTTAAATCTTTCTTTCAGTTGTAAATATGTAAACCAGTGGCAGACATGTCCTTCTAATTATAAATCCTCTTTAGATTTGAGGGTAGGGTCCCCTAAACTAAAAGATATTATTTTACCGTAAGTCCACCAGTTTGGCCTCGTCTCCATTTCTTTTCTTAAAAAAAGCTTGCTGTGGGGAAACCCAGAGGCACCTTCCTGGAAAACCGTGTTTTATATTTATTTCAAACTTTCAAAATAGCACGTCTGACAAAAATGGTGGTGGAAGTCAACATTTACTTTAACTTCGTCATATCATAAGTAACCATGCCAACCAAATGTTAATTAATGGCCTTCTAAGTCCAGTAGCCTCTTATTCTGAAGGTTCACCCATTCTTTTAACCAGACCAAACAGCAGGCGTCAAAATACAATTTCAAATCTGGTAGACCCAGACCCCCTCTTTCCTTAGCATCTTGCAGTAGTCTGTTTCTAATTCTTGTTTTTTCCTTTACCATATAAATTTTGATATATCCCTCTGCCATTGTTTAAATGGAATATAAGTTGCAAGTATTAGTAGTATCTGAAACAAAAAAGCATCTTTGTAAGACATTCATCTTAATTACAGAGATTCTGCCCAATAGTAATAACTACAATTTATCCAACTTAATAGGTCTTTTTAAATGTCATTCCAGAGAGGTACATAATTGTTTGGAACAGTTTTGTATTTGTGTTTCTTAACATAACCCCCAAATATTTCACCTTTTTCTCAACCCTAAAACCATTTTTAATCAATGTATCCCCATCTTGTGTGGTCATATTCTTAATATTGATGTTTTCTGCTTATTTATTTTGAAACCTACTGAAGACCCAAACTCCTTTAATTTCCTTATCAAATATTCTATGTTGTTTTTTGGGTCTTGCAGAAATATCACAAGTCATCAGCAAAAGCCCTCAGCTTATAAACTTTCTTTTTAATATTTATACCTCTTATTTTCTCATCTTGCCTGACATCTCTATTCAAAACTTCCAACACCAGGATAAACAGCAAAGAAGATAAAGGACATCCTTGTCTTGTACCCTTTCAGATTTCGCATGCGTTAGTTAAGTCACCTTAAAAAACAATTTTTGCTTGTTGTGATGTATAAACAGCTTTGACCACTTGGATAAAATTCCCACCAAAATCCATTTCTTCCAGGACTTTAAACATAAAGGCTCAATTTAAGTTGTCAAAGGCCTTCTCTTCATCTAAGAATATTAAATCTGCCTGTTGTTCATTATGATATTGTAAGTATTCTCTAATATTCAAGACAGTTCTCACATTATTCCTTAACTCTTTTTGGCAGAAATCCAGATTGATCATCATGAATATATACCTGTAAAACTTTTTTTAACTTTCTGCCAAAACTGTAGTAAATAATTTATAATCCTTATTTAATAGTGAAAATGGTCTATAATTCTTCATCATCATGACACCCTGACCCTCCTTCAGGAGCAACACAATATTAGCTTCTTTCCAGGTTGGGTGTATCCTTCCCCCCCTGTAAAATATCATTCATTATATCCTTTACTGGCTGAAGTTCATCTTCAAAACATTTATAATACTGACTTGTAAGCCCATCTGAGCCAGGAGCTTTACCTGTTTACATTTTTCTTATAGCTTCTGATATTCAAAGATAGTTATTGGGTCACTCATAAAGTTGTCTCTGAGTTTGTAAAAGTTTCGGCAAGTGTTGTCTTAACAAATACTCATCTATTTTTGACTTATCTAACTCCTGCATTTTATACAAGTTAGAGTAAAAGTTATGAAACAGTTTTTTAATTTGCTGATTATCAATTATTATATTATTACCTTCACAATTTTTTTCAATCATTCTATTCTCCCTTTCTTTTCTTAGTCTATATATATATGCCAACCATCTTCCTGGTTTATTTGTAAACTCAAAATGTCTTTGCTTCACATAATTTTATTTTATTTCTACTTCTTGAACTGTTAGCATAGACAGTTGTTGGTGTAACAAATTTTTTTAATGCAAAATTTTAGAGTCCATAGGTGCCTTTTGCAATTCGATTTCTTTCTGTCTAATTGTGTCCAATATCTTTTGCATCTTTTCCAAAGATTTTTTTCTTCTCTAGACAACTGTATAAAGTAACCCCTCATAACTGCTTTACTAGCCTCCCAGACAATTGCTAAATTTGTCCCTTATAATTCTTTTAAGTATTGCACTGGGGATGGGAAAAAACCTTAATGGTGTATTCCCAGTGTGTGATAGGGAACTTGTAGCCCTCCAAATATGCTGAACAGGTTGAAGGATGTGTGATGCTCTTGAATTCCTGTGAAGCAATGTTTTGTAATATTTTTCATAAGATTGCTGAGATAGAACTCAAATCTTTGATTTTGCTTTATTGCATTTTTCTGCTTCCTTTAACAAATGAGGTGTCAGACTGTGCTCCTTCTAAATCCCAAGAAAGAAATACTCAGACTCCATGGTGTAGAGCAGAATTTATCTTTTACTGGAAAATGAATGGTAGCAACAGAATCAATTCCGAAACTAAAATATTGGCGGGTAAAATGCATATACAAAGGGATAGAATTGCTCCCCCCCTCCAGAGATCAAATGATTCTTCCAATTAAAACTTCTGAATAGGATCATGTGGTCATCTCTAGGTGATGATGAGGCTACTGTCAGTGACCTTGACATATTTTGATAAAAGTTCGCAGTTGCGCATAAAAAAGGACAGAGGTTAGTGAGAAATGGAAAGTTACAACAAAGAATCCCCCCTCCCTTTCTTTACCCAGCAAAGGAATGCAAAACACCTCCTGCCTTCTTCCCTTCCAAGATTCCCCCCTCCCACCGTTTAATGACAGCCGAAAGAGAAGTAAAGAGCATAGCCACAAATAAGCCATAATTAGGGGCGAAGATATCTTGATAGATAGGGATGAATATCTCTTGAGGCTGACATGAGGTATTTAAAAATAGACATCATTTCTGTGTTTCTTATGTGCACATGCATACAAATAAATGGCTAAATTTAGATAAATAAAAAAGGGTTTTTTTTCTCTGGAGAGACTAAAACCAGCTGATAAAAAGTGGCAGCTACACTGATGCATGGAATAGCAAGAGTTACTCGAGTGTTTAGTGGAATCACTAAAGAAAATATAAAATTAAGAATATATAAATGATATGAGGTGTATGGATTTTTCCTATAACATTTTTTCTCAGTTTATTCCTAGTTTTCAGACCGAAATCATTTTTTAAATTTATTTTATTTTTTAAACAAAATTACAAATCTCTATTTACATTAACAGCATTGTGTTAATAATTTGCCTTTATACCTATAGATCAATTCTTATTTCTATATTCTACCCATTTATACCATCTATCCCAAACTGCATAATAGTCTGACTTGTCCTTGCCCTTTAATTCCGCTGTGAATTTATCCATTTCCGCACAGTGCATTATTTTTTGTATCAGTTTCTCTTTGGATGGTATCTTTTCTGTTTTCCAGCCCTGTGCGAAGGCTATCCCACCACCGTTATAATGTGTATAATGATGTATTGATAGACTTGCTAAATTTTGCCTTAATTATTCCTAATAAAACTATTTCCAGTTTAAATTCTGATTGTTGTTCTGTAATTTCTAGCAGCCATCTTTGTATCCTCATCTATTTTATTTTTTTTTTTGCTTCTGGGCATTGCCACCACATATGAAAAAATGTTCGCTCTTTTTTTTTTTTACATTTCCAACAATCTGATTTTATATTTGGATATATTTTAGCCACTCTTGCTGAGGCTAAATGCCATCTATAAAACATTTTGTACTGATTTTCTTTAAATGCTGTTCACAATGTTAATTTGCAATTATTAATCCACATTCTTTCCCAGTCTTCTAATTTTATATTATGACCTACATTTCCTGCCCAGACAATCATTGTTCCCTTCACTATCTCTTCTACTTTCACTTCCAACAAATAACTACCGTATTTGCCGGCGTATAAGACGACTTTTTTGCCCTGAAAAACATGCCTCCAATTGGGGGGGTCGTCTTATATGCCGGGTCGTCTTATACGCCGGCAAATAGTAATTGGGAAGCACTGCGGCTGCCCGCGGCTGAGGCACTTTTGCGCACCGTGGAAACGAATCCCGTGAAGCCGAAAGGAGCAGCCAGCCTTCTCCCAGCTCCCAAGGAAACGAGGCTCGCACCGCCCGAGCTCCGCTGAGGTATCCGGCTGGGGCTGTCAGGAGTTGTTACCGCTGGCGCGGCTCCGCGCGGCTCCAATCCCGCGTTGCCTCGGGAAGGGAAAGGCAAAACCAGGAGCCGCTGCTGCCATTGCAAAGCGCCGCCGCGGCTCTTCCTTTTTGCCTTTCCCTTCCCGAGGCAACGCGGGACTGGAGCCGCGCGGAGCCGCGCCAGTGGTAACAACTTCTGACAGCCCCAGCTGTCGTGCGGAAGAGGGGGCGAGTATATAACAAACTATATTTTGAGTGGAAATGTTGTGGGGTCGTCTTATACGCCGGGTCGTCTTATACGCCGGCATATACGGTATACATTCTTGCTATGAATTTTTCCTCTTTGCCTGTCAAAATTTGATCTAGCTGTTGTAGAACTTTTTCAATCCTGAATTCTTCTAAATCCTTTTATAAATTTTGTCTGAATTTGTAGATATGACCACCAACCTATAATTATATCCTGCTCTTTTAATTCTTCAGTTGTTTTTAGGTTTCCCTGGTTATCTAATAATTCTTCATATCTAATCATTTTCTTTGTATCCCTTGTATTTGGATATAATATTGCTTCCATAGGTGAAACCCAACTCAGTAATTTCATATAATGTTTTCTTTTCACTTTTACCCATATTTGTATTAGTGATTCCCTTATCAAATGTCAGTTGCTAAAATTCTTTTATTTTTTAAATTTATCCACTCCTTTACCCACATCAGAACTACCGCCTGGTAATAAAATTCCATTTTGGAAATCCAAGGCCGCCTCTTCTTCTACTATCCTGTAGCATCTTTAAACTTATCCAGCCATATAAATTTCGTAACTGTCAGCCTCAAGATATATTCACCCCTAATTATCAAGATATCTTCACCCCTAATTATTTGTTGCTATGCTCTTTTCCTCTCTTTCGGCTGTCATGAAACGGTGGGAGGGGGGGAATCTTGGAGGGGAAGAAGGCAGGAGGTGTTTTGCATTCCTTTGCTGGGTTAAGAAAGGGAG